TAGCCGTGATAGAGTCGGGTCGAGGTCTTACCGGAAAGGGAGCAGGGAGAGTGAGGGAGGGGGTGAGAGAGGCAGGAGTAGGGATAGGTGAGGGAGCGAGGAGAGCAGGGAGGCCCTGGGCAGTTGGAGGGCTGGGCGAGAGGGCAGTGCCCTGAGCGTGGTCTAGCAGGGGGAGTTGGGGATCCGGGCTGTGTGTGTTTTGTATACTCGTGTGGTTGCCCTCTCCCCGGGAATTGGGGCCCGTCGGAGTGAGGGGAATGGGTTCTGTGCTGTCTGGCATCAGAGTAGAGAACACGTAGGTGGCTTGTGGGAGTGGAGAGGAGGTGGGAAAGCGGTGGAGGAGAGTGATTTGGAGGTGGAGAACAGGTGTTGCTGGTTCCGGCCGGTCAGGGTCAGGAGGGGAGGGAATTCGGTGTGGTAAGCGGGAGCAGGCAGCGTCTGTGAGCCGTGCCTTTTCCGGGCTTTATTGGGGGGCGCCGTGCTGGCTTGTCAAGGTGTTTTTGCTGTGTCTCGCGCTGGGCTGCACCCGGGAGCTCGCAACCCCCAGGAGGAGACTGACTTGCGGACCCGTTTCGCCTCGTTTGTGAGTGGACCGGCGAGGTAGTGGTGGCCACCCTCGGGTAGTGTTCGTTGTTCGTTGCTCGTGGTAGTTGAACAGCTGGCCTTCGAGCTGGTCCTCCGTGTATCTCTTGCCTTGCTGGCTGCGTGGGGCCCTGGTTTTTTTTTTGTGTAGAGGAGGCCCCCGAGTAGAGCCCCTGCCCCCGGTGGTGTTTTCTTTTTGTTCTTGTTTTGGCGGTCAAGAGGGACGAGAGCGCGTGAATAGGCAGGCCAGGCGAAGTGGCGCCTTTCGTGCGGTTCTTGCATAGATCGGTTCGCAGTCTTCTGCACCGCTGTGTTGCCTAGCCAGGGGCTGGGAGAGTGTCCCGGTTGGCGTGAGTGAGGGAATGAGGTGCGCGCGGAGGAACAGATGGACGTAGAGCCGCGCGCCCATCCCTGCGCTGTGTTTCGGCCCGGTCAGGGCCCCTGGTGCTCGTCCTTTATCGGGCGAGCCGCCCACAGTGTAACACCCCCATCAACAACAACAACAACAACAACAATAAGACTGCCAGACGAATGCCATTTGGCCAAAATTCTGTGAACGGTAGGCCAGAGTCAGCCAGCTACATGCATAGATTTCACTATTGCCGATGTTAACTTTTTGGAGTGACTTCCCTGTCCAGTTCCGATTTTACCACAGCAAACCCTACCAACTCATAGGGGGTATAACCAGTGATTTTTTTCATTTAGGGCGGGTCTCAATTTATTCCGACCCAAGTAACAAAGTTGCTAGGGTCGCCATAATTTATTCCGTAAGCCCCTGGGGGGGGGCTAC